AGAATGTCTGCCTTGGGCATTGCCGGATGTTGTAAATACTTACCCGTCTATCATAATTAAGGAATCCTAAACACTTGATTCCACATTGGATACTATGCCTACAAAAGATAAACATGTTATCATTATACGTACCGTAACCCATTGGCTACTATTGTCTGTTGGTGGAATCAAAGATATTTCAGTGACTCACCTATGATAACTATCTACAACTTTTAAGTATTTTTGATATTCTTTTTTACTTATATGTTCCAGCATTCTCGCGTCCACGAGACACTCTTCAAAATGTGTCTACAAAACAAACATTAAGTTATTATTGAAATGSATCATTTAMTGCACTGTGAGTTTGGTAAGCACAGGAATCCTGACAACAAGATTACCTTGTACTGAGACAGKCCGATATGTGGCAGCCACTCATTAGCGACCCAATCATGATTCATTTCACCATAAACCAGAGACTATAAATAAAGATATAATTATTACATTGAGCAATTCTATAAGTTAAAAGGTGATWGTGTATGTACATACATTTCTATTTGTATGAGGGCTGGATGGTGTAGTAAGTGTGATGATTTCTTGTATTGCTAGTCGTAGCTTTAGTCTGTGTACTGGGTTTGATATACCAATCTCATGTTGAATCTCTGTATCAGAGAGAGCCTGGAGGAGAGAACGTATGATATTATTAATTGATTGAATGATTGACACATTTCTAWATGCAGTTATACTTACAGACATAATAGCACCACTTTTAACATTAGCTTGACAAGCGGCTACATACCAGGCTGGCATTCCAACCCACAGCTAAACAACAAACAAAAACTGTCAGATCTCAACCTTCCTTCAACGTGGCTCCCATGTGTACATCAGTTACACATCAAAAACACTTTAATGATGCATCATTGGTTATCAGAGCAAACTCAGAAATTTTCCAATCAACGAAATTGACATGGTTTGTGYTGCATKTTTATTACAAAGGATAAAAGAAAGCCTGCCATTATTATTCCTATCTGTGTCAGTATATTTCCGAAATATATGCATATGTATGCTATGTTGTAAAAGATTAATACATCTAAATTTACCTCCAGCCAGGCTACAACAGTAGGTGCATTCCAAAGGCCAAATGGAGTGCCTGCCTCAAGTGCTTCAGCCAGTAAGTGAGATTTCTTTTTAATACTTCTATCCAATTCTCGTTGACCATTTCCGGATGTCACAGAGTCCAAAGACACAGAGTCTGAGTCCTGTGAACTTGTTGTTTCCTTACCGCGACCTTTCCCTTTGCTGCCAAACAATCGTCCAAATGAGCCTTTGATTCCTTTCTTCTTTGCTGTTTGACTGGTTTTGTTGAGTGATTCTGCACTACTTGTTGTGCTTGTACTCGCTGCACTTGGCAGGGAATCATTTGAATTTTCCCTAAAACAACATCATGAAGTTATAAAGCATTTCCTGGCCACAGCAAGTTTTCACACTATAGGCAATTATCAAACAATTCAAAATAACATCATTCCTTACATGGGTTTAGTATTTCCATTGCTATTCACTGCAGCTGTCACATGATCAGGGCTTGTTATGCTGGTCTTCGGGCTTTCTGTTGAGTCTGAGGCTACTGAACTAGGTGTGGGAGGGGTGGGACTGTCATCATTCAAAGCATGAAGAGAACCATCCTTGCTGGACTTCACCTGGAACATAAATGAGCATAAAATAAACATATCACCTGCATGACACTAGGAAATACATGAAATAGAAATATAATAGTTGTAGCGTTTAGAGATTATCCTGGGTGAAAGACCTTTGAATCTTTTTTTTTCAAGGGTGTACAGTGTTGCCTAGAATAACCTCCTTCTCTAGCACTCTACGTTTCTATCATTTCGTATTCAAACAACATTATTGTGAGTCATGTAGTTCTAAAAACATCTAAGAAAATGCTAAACATCAATACTGTAACTTAAAGAACAACTCTTAGYAAGCGTTTCCTCTTTTTATGTTGTRTAATAATAAAATATTTTTTTCACAATTGTTTTGCTAGAAACAACATGAGCACAACRCTAGCTGACAGCTGTTTTATAATTATAAAAGAGACTGATGTGAATGGCATTGTTCAGTTATACATGTATGTTATTGACAAATTTATTCAACAGTTATTGTGACTATTTGTTCCATATAGATTCATACAATGTAATACATGTATGTCTATCAAGATCTCTATAAATGTCACTAATTAATAAGCGTTTCAACCTTTTAACCAGCCTTGACTAGCTCAATGCTACTAGCAGGTAAACTGTAAAATTGTCAACACCAATATATGGCAATAAATGTMAAATGTCTATAAACTATAATTATCCTTTATGTGCTGCCAGGAAAGAAGTCAAATGTAATCTCACCCAAATAGGTGTGGTATCCATAGGATCCAATGGTGGGAAAGGAAAAGATGATGAGCTGTATTCCTGTAGATAAAATGCAAGTTGTTCAAAAACTCAAATATTGATTACTAACATTAGATGCATGTTCAACGTTAATTCTTCATTAATAAACACAAATATAATATAAATAATTATGTTCTTGTATATGCACCATCAGTGGTATACCTCATTAGCTCCTGACAACCGCCTTGGTCCCCCCACAGCTGATTTTACCAGCTCATCAGTCTTCTCCTCAGCATCTCTATGTTCATCTTGTAAGTAACTAGTGAAACAAGTTATTATATGTTAGTCTTAACGTGCTAATCTTAACAGCAGAAATTGCTGTGTCACAACCTTAGGGTTTCCATGAAGAATACAGAATCTGTTAGACTCTTTGCAGCTGTAGAAATTTAACAGCACAGGGTAACAGTACACAAATGCACATACTTGAGTTCTAGATTAATAGCATCAATCTGTTGCTGTAGCAATGAGGCTAGTGTTAATGCATCTCCTGCAACCTCATTCTCATCATTATCAAAATCCAGTTCAGCAGTGTCTGATGTTCGTGTTGTATCAAATGCTAATGTGATGTTCTTGAGTACATTTTCTTGTTCCATCTTCTGCCATTCTTGTTCATTAAGTGTAAAAACCTGACTTGGATTCTCTTCTACACATTGCCGCCCTCTTTGTTCTCGATACTGCACATTAGTTGTACCACCAGAACTAACAAACATAAACTTATTATCATTGTGGATACTCCATCATTGTTTGACCTTGAATATTTTCTGTAACAACTTCTAGATAACAATATCCCACAAACATCATATCATTATCATTATTGGATATCATAACATTAATTATCTTATCATAGACTGATCATACAACATGTAACATCTTAAGGTACAATACCAACCTACTGAGGCCCATCGACTGCTTTGCTCTCTCAACCAACTCTTTGTTTAATTCCTATTAACACAGAAAATGYGAGGTTATSAACTGACATATTATTAATGCCTTGATGTGTGGGCTAAGCCTGTATCATTAACTAAGTCATGGGCTGGTCAGGCTTTGAAAAGCACTGACCCACAACAAACCTTCTTTTGTAAATCGATCTGAACAAATACTTACTTGTGACTGCCGCTTTTCTTCTTTGATTCTAGCTAGTTCTTGTGCCAGCACTTCCTACATGTACACACAGTAAAACATGACTTCACATATGAACATTTCTATTTATTGAATTCCAAATAACATGCAACTCATAGGATGGACTAGTCATGTAGGGTTCAGAGATACATACCTTTTCCTTTTGGATTTCTTCTAACTGTAATTTCATGTTTTCAAGTTCTTGTGTTACAGCAGTCTAATAGCAAAAAACATAWATGTTTCCACTGAGATGTAATTAAGAATCTGACATCACCAAATAGCCATTTTTTTAATGCAGTCATTGAATATTATATATTAAAATATTGTTCAATGAAAAATAAAAACATCAAGGAAGTTTACTAGAAAATTATATACACAATCATGCAATCATGTAACTTCTCTTTAAATAAATAAAAAATTGCTTAGTAACCATACTTTTTCTTCCAATGCTGCCATTCTCTCTTTTAAATGAGCCTGCAGTCTTTCATTAGACTCTGTCAACAATTTGTCAATTGTTGCAGCGAGTCTAGTATTATGGTCTTCATTCATTTTTTCTCTTTCCCTTGCCTGTCAAATATTGAAACATGGAACAAGTTGTAATATAGCACTAGGWCCACACTCTGTGAAAACACTTWYACAAATGAAAAATCACTSCGACCTACAGACCCTTTTTCTWTYAWTATAACTACCTGTGAGCAACTTCTCATAAACATTTAGTTTCATTCCTCTACTATCACCCTTTCTTACCCTCTTCAGCTCTGCTTGCATCTCTTCAACTTGTGTTTTCATCTTTGTCAATTGTTCTTCAGTTGTCCCTTGCTTTTCAGCAGCCTGTTTACAATTTCACTTTTTTAATACTTCATGTTGTAATAATTTAACATAAATTTAACATCTCAAACTGACAATGGCAGAAGAAATGCCAAAACATGTCTGTAAAAATCAAAATTTATGCTATCTTATATTTTCAATGACTTTCCATGTCCCCAAAATTCCAGGTTTTCCAGGACTTGTAGAAACCTTGGACAACACATCCTTGAAAGGAAGATTACCTCATTCAAAGCTGCCATTCTCACTGCAAGCTCTTCTTCTATCTTTGGCAAGGCTTCAGCTTTACGATGGAGTTGATTTAGGTTCTGTTCTGATAATTCTAACTTCTCTTGAAAATGTCTCTGTTTTTCTTCAGCCTAATGATTTCATGGAGACATTTCAGATGATGTTAGGTACCAACATGTAATAACAATGTTTATTCTATTCAGTATATATCATCAATATCACTTCACGTTTATTTACGGAGAAAACCTTCAAATCCACAATCACTATATCTGCAGGCATTCTTGGGGTGTATGTGATAACGTCATAGTCAAGCAAAAAATCTCGAAAAAGCCAAGATATTTTTTCTAAAGAGCTCTTCTTACAGTATATCTTAAATATACTTCCAGACCTGTATTGTGTATACAAATTTTCATATGAATTTGACGCTTTGGTGACAAAACATAAAAGTTTTAGATTGTGTGCAGTTTAATTTATTCTACTTTTAGATCATAAATAAAAACTTTGAAATTGGATAAATCATTCTTTCAACTCCGTAACAACTTACTTAAGGTGATTTTCCTTATATAAAGCCATAATTGAACAAAATTTACAATGGAAACCAGAGTTTTTGAAGGCAGTTTGAAATCAGCTGACATCTTGGATGATCAAAAGTTGTCATCCAAGATGGCATCCCCATACAAATTAACCAAATATTTCAAATCTTTATTGGCTTATATCTTCATCAGAAAGTAAGCTAATGACTAATAAATTTTCACTTCAATGGTTGCACACCAAGAAATGTTTTGAATTGATGGATGGAAGCAGTTCTATCTGACATGTAACTAAGGACAAAAAGCTCAGAGCAGAGAAGTGAATCAATTCAGAAACTAAAATCATGTATAGTATAGTAAATACATGGCACACGTAAATGTAGATGTGATAAAAGAGTATGCTGATTGGAAATCACTTAATATATTTACCTGTATTAATTCTGCTTCTTTTGAAGCTAGCTCAGTTTCTAGTCGCTCGTTATCATCATTAAGGGCAGTCACTTCATGCTGCATTCTAACATATCGCTTTTCTAATGTAGCTATCCTGTCTTCCATATCAGACTTTTGCGCTGCAGCCTGCAAATATACAAATAAAAATGTCCAAAACATGCTATTGAATGCGTGCTTTTTGTTCAATAACAAAGTTTATGAACTCATACAAACATTTTCATAATATATAATAGTCAAATTCCATGCAACTAAATTTGTTAATGACAGGTCCATCACTATCTTGAGACTCCTACTTTATAGCTACATGCACAATATGCATACCTCATCTAAATCTCTCTCAAGTCTCTTAACCTGAGCATTAGCTCTCTCAAGCTGCTTATTGGTTATTCTTAAATCTTCTTCTAAAAGATTTGCTCTTTCCTTGAATTCCCTTGACTCTTTTGATAACTAAAATGATTATAAAAAAAATCAATCAAATTTAAAATTAATCAATATTGATATTTAACCAACCAAGTCAGCCTATAAACAATAAATCAATCAAAAAGCCAAAATCATAAATCAAACCACCACCTATAGCCCACTCATCAACAACTAACATTGAAAGAAATAATGATTAGAAAAAAAAAGAGAACAACAACAACAAAATTTAATAAATTCAAAATTAATAAAAATCATATTATATACCCGGTCAACTTCTTTAGCTCTCTTGCTTAACAAGAAGTTTATTTCTTCAATCTGCTCATCATGGTTACAGATTTCTGTTGGACCATTAGATATCTAACAGATAAAAACATCAGCCTTGTCACATAATTGAATCCTGTACATGTCCAGATAAGGTCCTTTTTGAAAACCATTTCTTTGTAAATGAAAAAGTTTCCTCAATAAAGATTATTATTATCATAACATATATAAAACAATATTTTCATGAATTGAACCAACGGATCTACACATAAGTCATTACACATCCAGAATTTAAAAAAAAAACATCATTGCACCTTTCTCCCTTCATTTTCATCACCATTGGGTAGACATTCCTCTTGTATAGGTGAATCATTTTCATCTGGGCGCATTCTTCTTAGGTTTCTAAGTCTTATATCTTCATTTTCTTGTTCAAGTTGTTTAACCTGGACATCAAAACAATATCTTGTCACAAGTTTGTTTGAAGTCACAGCACACCATTCTATACTTACTCTGTCTTTAGTCTCTTCTAATTCTGTTTCCAAATTATTTCCTCTGTCTACAGCTTGCCGTAACCTTTCTCGCACCTTCAGGAATATATTCATGAATCCATTAAAAAATAACTTAAAATTATGTACAGTGGAGTTTCTATTATGAATGACCACACAAACACTGTGCACGGTCTGACCAGTAAATGAAAGTAAATAGAAACTTCTGATTTCTTGGGTTACCTGTGGAATATATGAACCAGACATACCTTTTCATCTAATGCCTTGTGATGTTCAAACAGAGACTTCAGTGCTTTTAACACTTCAACTTCTGATGACACTCCACCAGCACTTGCTGCTTGTCTCTTAACTACAGTCATCCTTAGCGACCTTTCATGGCGTGCCACCAGACATTCTAAATGTTCCAGTAACAACTAAAAGACATTAATTGCATGTAATCACATTTATATGTTGGCAATAACACTGGCAATTGTAATCATTGAAAAAACATTTACCATGGGCACCTAAATATGTCGAGAATGTTTGCAGTGATGAAAATAATGCAAAAAAGAAGACTAATTGTCTTCATGGCTCAAGGTGAAGTTTATCGGTTTTATCAAAGCATTACAAGATTAATTACAAGTACATCACTACAAACATGTATAACTAGTAATCTAAATGTGTTTGTACTTTGATCATGATACTCACAGTCAACATGACATGACCTACCCTAGTATTGCATCTTTCAGCTTTTAACTCTAAAATTTCCTCTTCTTTTTCAAGCAGTTGTTCTCGAGACTGATTCAATTCCTTGAGCATTGATGCAAAGTCCTGTTAAAAGATTTACTAACACTGAGCAAAGTGTATGAAATTAATTCTCGGATGTTGTGCAGGCTTGCTGCCTTGGGAAGTAACAGATGGATGTCCAAACCCTACAGTGTAAAGTGCACCTTTAAAAAAAATATTTCTTTCTAAAACCACACAGCTTGATCACTATAATTATATCAAATAGTTAAAGGTTAGTGGTTTAAATTTTACTGCTGATTCAATCAGGATTTTCATACAACTGTTATTTTAAATTACAGTATTCACAGTTTCCAGTAGTTTATTTTCCCATCTATTAGTTCTCAAGCTGTGGCACTCTTAATACAAAATGGCATAAAGTATACTTGTAATGGACTTTCGGGAGAAATACCACTGTAGATTTGAATTAATCTACCTTTTACAAGAGCTCAGCCTTCTTGAGATCCTACCAAAAATTTTTATGTCAAGCTTGTAGTGTTTCTTTAAGGGCTGAGAAATTGCTTGAGTTTATATGTCAAATTAATATCAATATCAAGCCAGCCAGTCAAGGCAGTAGTCAAAAATTGGAAAACAGTTCCATATTTCACCAGATTTTTATGGCAAGTATGCCCTTCAATACCTAATATACTAAAGTTATGAGCCTTGGCATAGGTATTCCAAGAATTGGAATCCTGTTTACTTTCCTGTTTGTTTTTTTCTTATACAGTAAGTTCCAGTAATGAAACTGCTACTTCAAATTTCTGCACTAGTTTGTTCATAGTGATATTTTTCTAGTTTATTGTTGTTGTTATACGTACAATCATGCGGTAGTATATAAGCCATGCTGTGCAAGTACTTCACCTTAATAACAATAATATCAATATAGTGGGAGAGAGATAACCAGTTCTATTTTTCATAGATACAAAGCCTGATAACAACCCATGTTTTGAAGGTAAGATACAAGGTAATAATGGCTTGCCAATCAAAAAATAAATTATAATGATATCGCACAAATCAATCCTTTTTTCTGGACAACCATTGACCACTTCCTGCCACACAACCTTTTAGTCAATAACCTATTAATCTTTCCATTTCTGTCTAGAATCGCCATTATAATCATGTTAAATACTCTGTACAAGTACGTTTGACAACATCTATTTTAAGGTGCTTTTTGCTAAAAAAATAATGCATGAAAGAAAAAATTGAAGTTAAATAATTTTGTGCCTTTCTCTTATGATAACTTTTTTTCGGAAAATGTGTTGCTTTCTCATAAAGCAAAGCAATAAACAGCATAAATTCAAATCATAAAAGGATTTTGAATGTTCACATCACGAATAAATTCAGGAGAAAGATAATCGTGGAAAGAGAAAGGGTCATTCTTAAGCAGATGAAAATAAGAATCCCCACAAAGACAAAGTCCTGCTGAGCAAAGACAAAACACTACTGAAAGATGCATGACCAGTGAGAGGTTGACGTGAAAGGGATTTCAGGAACAATAACAACAGAATACTTATTAACTTATCTACAACAACAGTAATAAGGAATTCTTCAAGTTCATTTGAACACAGGTAAATAAATACAGTGAAAGTTATAAAAATTGCAAGAAAATGTGATGATTAGGCTAACTACATGCATAATTATTCTTCATCAACACAACAGCCAATCACAACAAGTCAAGAAATTTAATTTGAAACCAAAAGCCATCAAAATCTAGTTTGTCCACAGAATACTGTGTTGCCACAAGTAGTGACCACCATACAGATTGAAATGGTCTCTTTCTAACCATCCACGTTTAGCTATTGTTTTGTTCACGGCTTCTATTACAAGATCTGATATTCAAAAATACTATATTTTCTTATCACTTTGCCAACAACCTGCATTGGCTAATATTCCACAATGCACTCAAGTCTGAATAAAAATCAAAGCATTTTGTTAACAAATGCAAGAGCTGCACTAAGAACTGGTAAATAGTGTCATCGCCATCCTGACATTGTGACGTGGTTTGTAAGGGCAACCAAGTGTAACAAATTGTTGTACCATATAACAATGCAATCATTTTACCAAAACAAGCACTTCAATCGTACTGGGATTCGATTGAACTTCAACTTGGAATGTTGATTATGTTAAGATATCTCGAAGACGTGCAACACAACGATCAGACCACTTCTTTTGATTTAGTAATAAAGCCGATGGTTTTAAACTACGGCGATTTTTTACCCAATAAAACGACTATTTGAGATGACATGATATCTACATGGAAAAAGGACGTTTGATCGAGTGTTCGAATTGTTTGAACCAATTGAAAAGAATAGGATCTATTGTTTATAAATATTACTTGAGACAGAATGTATACAAAAGTCTTGAATTAGCTATGTTAGAGCGAGTTCGTGGGAATTAAAAGCGGCTACATCGAGTGAGGTCATTACTAGTAGTATGAAGTTACATGAATAGCAGTTAATAACCAACTCAAGTTACTTACAATCAATTGCTTCTTACCTCGGCCAGCTTCTTCACTCGTTTCTTTCCGTGATCTTCTTTTAAGTTGTTAGTAGACTCTGAATTAATACCGTCTAAGCTTGCTAGTTTATCTATAAGCTGGTCGTCTCCCTGTAGAAACCATGAGAGCAATGAATGAATCTCGTGTACGTACTCAGAGAGTAATGTCAACCCTTCTGTGTTGGAATGATAACTAAATATTTATCAGAAATTGCAACAAACAGGGTTTAAGAGGAAGATGATGGTTTAGAGAGGAAATACTGAGATCAGGGCTGCTTTTTCGAGCAATAATTTGTAACMATCACCGAGTAATTGACAAGAATTTCACTCAAACTTGTGTGGAATGTAATCGATCAACCCTGATGCCGACTGCTCTGGAATCTCGTTCTAATTAGTAGAAACGGTGCCTCGCTCTCCAGCCCCAGTGATAATTTATTGTTAGCACTAGTGCACAAAATATAACACACAACCTACAATCAAGACGTCTCAATCTGTGAATACTGGCGACCAGAAATCGGATTTTTAAGTGAAGATCAAACAAGTAAGCGAGATAACTTCATTGAGATAAACGAATCATTTCTCGAGTAAGGTCTTTAAATCATTCACTAAAAGATGTACCTCGGATAGAACAGACTCTAAATGAGCCATCATAGCTTCTCTGTCCTTGTGAGCATCGTTGAGTTTTGATCTTGTCAAGGCCAATGTGTCTTGAGTTTCTCTCAATGTCTCCATCAACTTATCGCGTTCATCCAGCATATTCACCATAAGTTGCTCGAAATTCGTTTCCTCATTTTGGCCGAAGTGGATCTCTGGAGGATCCTCCGAGATAGTTGGCATTATATCACACATCATCTTGAAGCCTGCACAAGAGAGCGAAGCTCGCCGAAAACCAGACTTTGCTGTGAATTCAGCTCACATGACGATAACAACAAAACGTAGAGCCGTCCGCAACACACTCAAAACACTGCTTCTTGGAGGGCACAAATACATATTAGATGTAAAGAATCGTAGAGTTGTCCTTCTACAAGCTAAACGAATTCATTGTGCAACTATGAGATGTTTTTTAGTACTGTTTTTCTTAGGATTTATCCAACCAGTCCTCTCGCAAATGAACAAGAAACCTAAAATACTGACTAGGAGCAATGACATACCCAGCATGCTTTTCGCACAACCTACTCACCCCCACCACCTGCGTCAAACAGTTTTCTTTTTTTTCTTTCTTTTTTTTTTTCTTTTTTCTTTCCTTTTTTGTGGGGAGGGGGAGGATTGGTGATAAATAAAAATAGAAAAATCGCACAAAAATTCACAAAATAATAATAGGAATAGCTTTAAGAAATTTTAACTTATCGTGGAAATAGTCTTTAGCGATGTGTAGTCTGGAGCCTGAAGCCAGCGAAGGTTAAAAAGGCTAGCAATATCACAAGTCCTTACAAGGACTGCTCTTCACAATAAAACAAGTAGTTCAACTCCATTTGATAATTTTTTTTAGGTATATCTACAATGCTTCTCGCTGACGGGAATTACTTTGAATTTACGCATTAAAGGGGTACGTAGTTTCTTCGGATCGCGGACTCATTGTGGCAACCATTTGACATAGAGATCAATATCTAATAATTCATTCCAAGTGTGATTAGATGTGGTTCAAGGGCACTAGAGTAAATGCATTCCACTGCCTCATGTCAGTGAATAATTCACGAGTACCGATTTGTAAACAATGCACTTTTTAGATTTAGAGAAAATCTGATCAATAGAACAAGAAAAGAAGAGTGACCGATGGTTACCAAACATGTAACGCCTTGGTTAAGGTAATCATCACATCCAGCTTTGCTCGACTGTAAAATTCATTTTAACAAAAGCAAATACGATAATTGCTTTATTTCATTGGTCTGCGCTGTTAATTAGCTAATGGTACATAATATTAGCGAACAGCCTCAGGGTACTCCTCCCGATATGCCACGTGCCATACACACCCGCATCAACACTTGTTGAAATACAATGTCATCAGAGTTATGATAAACCTCTCTGTAATCGAAATTTGTGCATGTTATTATTGTTGATAACAGTTCAATTCTTTTTTCACATTGAGCTCCTTAAAAGTTCATTTAACAAGCTCAAATATCTCAGTATTTGATTGTCACGAAACACGGACTTTGACTGGCCTCTCTCTTTTAAGGCGGTCTTGGTCAGTTAAAGCATAAAAGTATTGACCACAACGAAAATCAGTCTTGCCAGCTCGTTATTTATTCATTAACGAGTTGATATTTATAGCAGTGGTTTCGTTTCAGCCTGCACAATAAGCGGCATGAATTAGTAACATGAATTATGAAGATAGAGGGCCCAATCCTCAGAAAGTCAGCTCCTACTTATATATATTATATACATTTCTTACCCCATGTGAAATTTTTGAAAGCCTAATTTTTTTTGACGTACCTAACAACGTTTTTCCCTCGATATAACGCAAGTTGTCTTAATCTTACTCTGTGCCCGCCCCTAACAAACATCACTATTCCGTGTGAATGTGATAATTTACTAATCCAGCTCAACCTCATCATCCAATAATTCAGTGCCAGGCATCGCGCTTAACCTTACCACGCAATTATTGCCAGGTATCGCGCTTAACCTTACCACGCAATTATTGTCAATATAATTTCCTGGGAAAATTTTCTGCATATAATCGCGCGTAGAAACAAAGCGTTGAATACGGTGAATTTCCTCCTAAGCATTTTTATTTTGAATAACTGTCATTTCTACCCATACAGACTATTAATTGTTGGCCATCTGCGTTTTAATCCAGCTGTGAAGGTACTTAACCCGGGCATAGACGCCATACTTGTTGGGTAAAGCACAACCATAGCCCCAGCTAGTGGCACCATGAAGGTAGAACCTTCCACCATTCTCGCACACCATTGGTCCACCAGAATCACCTATGAAAATAATCAAAATAACTGAGCTATACATGCAACCTGTTTTTACAATGCTGTCTATAGCATGCTGTAGTTAACAAATAAATAAGGCTCAGCCATGGTTTATACTCTCATAAACCACACTTTTTTGGCCAATCAGAGCGCGCGTTAGAATTCATCTATATAATAACAATGTATCGAGTACTGCACATTAGTTTTGTTGTAGAGAGTCATACTCTATCAAGGGATTTTCAGTGTACGTACACTATATAGTTTATCAAGCATGTTGTACATAAGACAATTAGCGAGCTGGATGTTACTGAAGAACTGGTGAAAAGAGTGATTAACAGTGACTGGAGCCCTAAGGTCGTGTGGTTCTCATCATCGTGAAGAAACGATAATCAGTTTAATAACTACTTTTCTTACCTTGACAAGCATCTACTCCACCTTGATCAAGACCCGCACATATCATGCTATCGTCGATCTCGTTAACATAAGAAGATTTACACTTGTCCTGATGAACGATTGGTACTGAAGCCTGTTGGAGTGTCTCTGGCTGTGACCCCCCTGAGCTTAGTGTACCCCACCCTGTTATCCAGCAAGTTGTACCTGCTGCCACGTCTGGGATAGACTCAGGAAGGCAAACAAGGTTGGTGTACCTATGAATACAGGCTATGTGAGTAAAACATACAACAAATAGCTATGGATTTCTTGAAAATATACTTGTCAAGCTTGGCTGGTTTGTCGAGCTTCAGCATTGCGATGTCGTTACTGTATGACATGGGGTGTTGATAAGAAGGATGCATCAAGATCAAACTAACTCCAAATTTCTGTTCAGTACCAACGTCGTACGTTCGTTTGTGGGCTCCCATTCTAGACAAGAAAGAAAAAAACTCACTTTGAATCACCAATTTTGAACTCTGTCCCTCTTCAGATATACGCCTTTGCGCGGGGATTATGTGAACACTAAGATAATAAATGAGCAGCTATCAGCCATTTTGTACGAACGGACTAGTATTCGCAGTCTTAGCTTCAAGCACGCCTAAACTTTCATTGTCTAATTCTTTGCATTATATTTGAGTTCGCTTCTGATTATATTGCACGTTTTTTAGCAGGCTACGCATAAGATGAATATCTCACCGCACAGCTATTTGTGAAGGTCGCTTTCCAGAAACGCAGTGAGAAGCAGTGACAACCCACTGTGGATGGACCAACGCCCCACCACAGAACTGAGATCCTGTAGAGGAGTAGTGAAGAAGAGCCTGCCAGGGCCAGTCCCCGTGATTAGCATCAGCACCTCCAACAATCCTGGTACTGGGACGAATACCACATGAACCTACCACAGACAATAGAGCGGATTTCGTATGAGTGGGACACCGTTACCGCACGGTTACCGCACAGTTACCGCACCTGGCCTGCAGAATTTTGGTGAAACAATGGGGAACTAGAATTTGGTTACAGTACGATTACGGACACAGTACAGTACCGTCCGTTTCCCACTCATACGAAATCCGCTCTAAATTGACCATATCACATATTAACACATGCAGAAGATCAATCAGATAGAGCCGGCTTGTCTATCGATCAGTTCCAAGAAAATGTTGCTCAAATCAAAAGATGATCGAGCGCGAAGGCATACGGAATATTGACGAGAGTAATAAATATAATATATCATTGGTGGGATTAGTAGAAACCTCAGTTTTAGTTACTAGTCTTGTCCGATGTGTCCACAGGGAACCCATATTAAGCACAAGTTTAAATCACTGCCAGCACTCTACGGTATAAGGACATCTTGCGTTTATCTACGGAAATTGGGAGTTTCTTCAATTTTATTGGCTTTTCCCAATCGTACTTCAATTGAATTATGGCTATGTCGATTTTTAGCAATGCCGGTAAGATTTTAGAACAAAATGATTAATGCTAATTATGAAACTTACGTCAAGTCAAAAGACTGTAAAACTTTGGTGATAGATCTAGAACCTGTATAGTCCTAAACTTACCTGATGGCGGAGGAGCTTGTGTTGGCGGTGCTGTGGTGGGTCCGTCTGTTGGTGGCGCTGGAGTGGGTCCGTCTGTTGGTGGCGCTGGAGTGGGTCCTTGTGTTGGCGGAGATACAGATGCTGAAAGTTAGACTCAGAATAAATCAAACTAGCCAATAATATGTACAGTTCTACAAGATTATAAGATCCATAAGGACAAAATTGGGAATTGAATGTATGGTTAAAAATCTGGATTAAGGGAAAATCAACTGGTATAGTTTATGTAATGTACATTATTCATGTCATAAACTGACATAAAACCTATCATCAAAAAGAAGAATTTGTTTTTTTTTCATACCCGAGCAGCCTCTGATGAAGACATCGTCGATAGCCATGTCAGAGAAAATACCACTTCCAATGGTACCGACAAATACGACCTAATTACAAATAACACAAAAACAACAAACACTACCTTTAATAGCAGAAAACCATTTTTGTTCAAAAATCACTTTTGTACTTCAAATTTAAAGCTCATTTGTATTCTATGCATTTATATTTACTTCATTCATTTTTCTGCATTGCTGCAATCAAAACCAACCTTAAAAGAGCCTTTTGACACAGGAAGAGACATCGATGCTAAATGCCAGTAATCTGTTTGATCACCAGACCTTTTCCATATCTCGCGATTACCAACGTACACAGCTAGACTGCCCATGGTTGAGCCAGACATGTGATAGTAAAAACGTAACCGACATCGACGACCACCCTTCGGTACACTCAGCATTGGAGTCTCGAGTCTAGCTTTGCTTCCTGGAGCCTTTCCTCGTGCATCCGTGTACATGTATTCACCTGCATGAAACAAACTTTGCTCGCACTACCCCACCACGACTACAAGGGCGGATCCAGTTGAAATTTTAAGGGGTAAACTGGGGTTAGATGGGTTTTATCCGTTATAAACAGATTGAAAAACAGTTAACTTTTTATGCTCAGCTGAGTCGTGGGCTCCAGCACCCCTTTGCACCTCCCTGTATCCGCCTTTGACCACATCTTTACCTACACTACACCTCAATCTTTTTGTCTTTTAATAAAGCCTTTAAAAAGGCTTGTAGTTGGCTCCATATGTATTCCCAGTAAGAGTGTTTTACTTACCCCACCCGTCTGCGTCTGTCATTGGTCCTGTGTAGTAAGTTGGTGTCATACCAAATTGTCTTGTCCAGTCAAAGTCATCGTCGGTTCTTTGAACGAAACCACAGTCATCGGAGTTGAAGTTGCATTTGAAATCTAACTTGAAGCAATACAAACTATTAGAATTAAAGCAGAAGTAACCACCACAATCTTACTATTTTTTGTGTTTTGACTTTTAGTTATTTATTGTTTTATTGTTTGTAGAGCCTCCAAACTGGTCTGAAAATGATTCAAATCTTTTTATAACATATGTATCTCAAAGATATGTGTTAAATGTCCTATTTATATATATGTAGTATGGCTCCGGCACACCTAGAGAGGCCCCCAAGCCCAGAGATTCCTATCCAGTCTTAGCACTACACTTGTGCTGTACCATTATTTGAGTCATAAATGATACATTCACTAAATTCATGAAATGTGAATAACTCTGCAAGTTACTGACCTGTAGCACACAATGCAGCCCCAAACAAGGCAAAAAGAGTTAGGGCAAACATGATTATGAGTAGTGATATGTGATAGAAGAGTCTTAAAGCCTACTTATATGACATCACGCTACAACTGTATTTGACCAGTTTTCGCTGCTTCCATTATAGAATTGATATAAGTAATGGAAGAAACAATACAACAGCTAAACTACATTACACATTTGTGATAACTTGTAGACACTTAAGACATGTCAAGAATCGTAATGTGTGTGTTCATTTAGTCAGCTTTGGGCGAAACCACGCTCAGACATGATCATATATTGTAAACGTAACCGCGGAACTGCGGAGGGAATCCCCCCTGAACTGCAAATCATTTTTACTTAACATAACAAATTTAAAATATTCCAGCAGACCTTTATCATCTGCCTATTAATAAAATTATTCAAACACGCGGCATTTCAATGCACCATTTAAGGGAATTTCAGATAAGGAGGACTACATTTGCGAACATCAAGTGAAGATTAGCGCCGGCAAAATACATATTAACATATGCATAATGCTTTAATTTCACATATGCACCTCAAAACCGTCGAGCTTTCTTCAAACTACCTAAAGGAAATTCGCCAATACAACACTTCCAGCTTCCAGCAGTTTCGTTCTATATAAAAGCACGAATTAAAGCTATCGTCTCTCTCACTTCAGCGCTAAAGATTTTCCCAATGATCAACGAGACCCGGGTATATCGGGTCAGGGGAGACATTGTTAATCTATAGAAAACAAAATGGATGTTGATTTACTGACAAATACGCCGAAAAATCGATTATGGAATTGCTTGCTGGACAAACACTTTTTAACAGCTGAACGTTTACTGCACTTAAGGGACTATTCTGTATCCAGGGTAACCTTCGTCATCTCAGTTGTTTTTTATGCCATTGAAGCTTCGACTTGCAAATCTGATCTTATACCTTTTTTATATTTCGTTTTGATCCGTGTTTAAGCAATTTTAAATATCCGTTAGTCTTGCCCTACCTGAATTACTCGAGGGTTAGATAATTCCCTACGAGTAACCAACATATAGTATAAATTAATATAAACAATGAAAAACATATCTGTTTTATGTAATTCGCAAAAAAACTTCTGCGAATTATTGGAAAACAGATTAATTTTAGTATCTAAAATAGTCGACACTGTTGTTGTTTTTTATAAATCAGAAGTTATCATTGATTTTTTAGGGTTTTCGAATGGTGTTTCAGAAATCGCGAGGCTCGCGATAAAAAATTCCCAATGGTCGCAGTCAAAGGCTTGGGTCGGATTTTAAACCCTCATTTCCATTGCAGCTTGTTTAGATGACAAGAACTTTTATGAGATATTAGCAAAGAAATCGATAGGTAGCGCTGATCGACTTGCGTCCAAAGCATCATCCTTTCCTCGGATGTTTCTGCAAGCCTTTTTCTAGACATTTTCTTAAATTTGATGATCGAAGAGTTTGTAAGCTTCATGGTACATGTAAACTTGTTTTTGTTTTCAAAACCATCTCTTTTGACACTCTAAAAGACCAAGACTTTCAATGAAACATATTTCGTTGTTTGAATTATTACACTGAGAAAACTTTACAAGACTACATTGTTATGAAGATACTTCAAATCAAATCCGATGTTCTTTGAGCTTCACCAGTTTTTGAAAAGGCCTAACCCTCGACCAGACAGAGCTCTATTACAAAACGACATCCATGTTTGCTTCTGACAAGATGGCAGAGGGATCCGATAAAGCGCATCAATCGTTTGATATCTTCTATTGTGCTTTGGTATGTACTCCTGTAATCACGGAAGCCTTTAGACATATTTTCTGATAAATCATTTATCTGATTTCATCATTGGTATATGGGTTGGTGAGTGTTCGTATTTCCTGTTACATACTCCTGATGTATCCTGTTCCTTATATCTTCTTCGCCTTCTTTGATCAAACTTCTTTGTGCTTGTATCTCAGGAGCGACTCGTTCTTCAAATACAGAAGGATGAATTAAGCCCTGGAAGACGACTTTCCCAATTTTGCAGCCCTCCTAAACCACAAAATATCCATTGCCATTTTGACACATCTTTACTGTACCTTTTGCTGGAATATATATTGTCTTACGTTGTGCGCACGATTGCTGGTGAGGGCAATTGGTACATTGGCATCTAAATGCTTGTTATCTCTAGCACTCTTAGAAAATGTTTCTATTGGTAAAGATTAGGCTAAATTCTATGATGTTTAGTAATAACTTCCTGCGCGCCGTTCGTGGTCATACCTGGTCTACCTGGTCTCGTGCGAGATCTCCATCAGATAATGGGCATGCTGCTTTAGATTATTTTAAAGATTGCATCTGGTCTACATTGGCTTTATAAGGGCGATCATCTCCATAGAGATTCGTTTTTTGCTGCGAATCAAGTTCGATAAGGGAATAGGGAAATCCCTCATTGGTTATCAAGAACAACATTGGTTATCAAGAACAACATTGCAGTAATTCAAATATCCTGGAAATACGGGACTGGTGATCAGATAATCAAACATGGAATTTGGAATCCACGTTATAGGGTGTCCCACGGCTAGAAAGAGGATGATTTTAAAAAAACCTAAATATTGATCAAAAGGATTATTATTATTACTCCTTTTTGGAGTAATTTTGGCCCGGCTTTCCGAGTTGATTTGAACCTCTGATCTTCCCTCATTCGTTTTGTTGTCTGCACTTTCATTCTCAAAAGTTACAGTTTTTGTAAAATAATGAGTTCTCTTTTGAATATTTTATCAAATATTTATCATTTCTTCTAAATTTTGATAATTCATTCTATTCAGTTCTTTATATCTTGATAGGTAATTTTATCCTTGCAATTTATAGATTTTTTCCAAAGCGTTGTTCTTGCCGGCCATTCTGTCAAAAGTAGCCCATAATATTCATACTAACTATCAGTAGATTTGTCCCATCTCTGACCATATACTCTTGAACCACGTGCATCGTCTTTTAGAACAAGACAGGATGTTCTTCAAGCTCAAGTTGCAATGCACTATATGGACCATATCATTTTGGCGCGAAACCGGCGTATCTTTCAGGGTACGTTCTTGACCTGCATGACCCTCTCGAGGAAAAGAACAAAACTTTAGGTTTTTCGGTTTCGATCGTGGAACACCAGAAGTGCTCTGAACAGGTAAAGATCGGTTTACATGTAGATATCATTTAATAATTCTTTTAATACGAAAGGTTATTTTCCAATTATTATGCTTACATTTAAGTATTTTTTAATAAAATAGTTATGTTTTTCAAATCAATCTGTTATATTTTGGAACAGAAATTGTACATGAACTGGCATATTTGGACCACACATTTCCAGGTACTAGCATTGTACAGGTATTTCCAAGAAATTGTGGATTTGATTTTACGACTTTGTAAAAATAATGTTGTACGAAGAGAGATCCGTGAGTATAGAAGACAATGGAAATAGTACTTAGCCTACTTTGCTAAATTGTTTTAAAAGAACCTTTTAATTATATTGTAAAACAATCCCTATTAAGCGTGCAGTAATGACCTGATAGCGAAATGAAGAATGTTAAGAAAGATACTCAATAAAGGAGTTAAATGAATACTAGACACATTTACAATTCAATGTTTTTTGTTTATTTAGTTATTGGTCATTTGTGTTTTAATCCAGCTGTGAAGGTACTTAACCCGGGCGTAAACGCCATACTTTTCTGGTGCAGCACATCCATAGCCCCAACTAGTGGCACCGTGAAGGTAGAACCTTCCGCCATTCTCGCACACCATTGGTCCACCAGAATCACCTGCATGATAAAAAGGAGTGTTTTTTATTTCTTCGGTGCAATGGACAGCAGACATCACATTTTCATTACATGATCATTTTCTACGAGAAAGCGCACTAGATTTATATATGCCAAGACAATAAGACTATAATTAAAATATTTTACCTTGGCAAGCATCGATGCCTCCCTGCTTAAGTCCAGCACAGATCATAGTGCTATCGATCTCCTTAGGGTAGGAATTCTTACATACTGCTTGATCCACTATGGGTACTGACGCTTGTTGCAGTGTTTGTGGTTGTGACCCCCCTGACGTCAAAGCACCCCATCCTGTAATCCAACACTTGGTTCCAGCAGCTACTTCGGGGATTGCCTCAGGCAGACAGACTACGTTAGTGTACCTAGATAAAACATTGCACGACATTTGTGTAGTCATACCATGAAATGTTCTCTAGCTCATAGAAGATTTTCTCTAAAATTCATTGTACTTTCATACTTTATTATTAATCAAACCAATTTATATAATATCAGTTTTTCAAATCGGTGGTTCCTTACTTGTCAAGTTTTGCTGGTGAAGATAGCTTGATTAATGCGATATCATTGCTGTATTGCTTGGGACTCTGGTAAGATTTGTGCATGATGATTTTGCTGGCTGGGATATCCTGTTCTGTGCCAACACTTTGCGTTCGTTTATGAGCTCCCATTCTGTGAAATTCAAAATAGCTTTTATGATGAATAAATGAGTAAGGAATTATAACCATCGCAGCCTGCATACAACAATTAATATCGACTGAAACGTGTGAGATCTGGATATAAACTGATGATAGTAAAGATTTCATGCAGTGCAGTAGCCCCCAAAATAGCTTTAACCGATCCGACATTTACTACAAGAAACCGTCCCTTGCATAGAACACATAGAACAATGAGTGTTATCCCAGAAAACACTACAAATTTTCCAAATATCTCATCTAAAAGTCGTAGCTATAGGAGATTTATAAATGAAATACTCAATCAAACAAATCTGAGTAAATTAACTCAAAATGATAGGTTTACTCAAAAAATTACTCGTTCTTCTTAAAAAAATGCCGTTTTGGCAGTGGTGATTTAAATTAGATTGTTTGAAACATCTATTTAATCATACAAAAGGCCAACCTTTACCTGACAATAAGATTTTTGAGATCCATTCTCTCTAGACAGTGAGAGGCTGTGACAACCCACTCTGGGTGAACCAACGCCCCACCACAGAACTGTTCACCAGTAGGTTTATAGCGGAGAAGAGCCTGCCAGGGCCAGTCCCCGTGATTAGCATCAGCACCTCCAACAATCCTGGTACTGGGACGAATACCACATGAACCTAACACAGACAATAAGATTATCGACACAGGCACGGATATAGTGATTTTTCAAGGGGAGGAATGGTCAGGGGAGATTTGTGACCGTGTTTATAGTGTATACTTGACCATTAACCACAATATATGCACAAGACACTGAAATTTGTAAAATTAAAACATCAAAACTCAGCTTTCGGTGTATAAAAGACAAATAAAAAAAACCCAAATCATTGGATTTTGTTGATATTCACATATTTCTTATTAGCGAACACTGATCAGATATGGTTGGTCTAACCTATATTACCTGATGGAGGAGGACCTTGTGTTGGTGGTGCTGGTGTGGGACCTTGTGTTGGTGGTGCTGGTGTGGGTCCTTGCGTTGGTGGTGCTGGAGTGGGTCCTTGGGTTGGTGGTGCTGGTGTGGGTCCTTGGGTCGGTGGTGCTGGTGTGGGTCCTTGGGTTGGGGGTTGAGCGGTACATGGAGGTGCCGGCGCTGAAATTATAAAACCATTTATCCATGAACAATCGTAAAACTCACATCCTTAGAACTTGAAATACACTTACTGGCTGGTGATTGACAATTTTCTAGCATGATGTCATCGAGGGCGAGGTCAGTGTAGTCACCACTACCAGCCACTGCCTCAAAAATTACCTGGACAACACAAGGTCAGCATTTAATGCAAATATAAAAGTAACTAAATAAGGTTTAATTGCTTGTTAGGTCTTTTTTAATTGATTGACATGCGTTGAATTAGTGTCCATAATCTACCTTATATGATCCTTGTGAGACAGGGACCTTAAACAACACTTTATGCCAATTAGGTCCCTGGTCGCCAATCTTTGACCACACCTTCTTTTTTCCTACATACACTAAGAGGCTGCCCACATTGGGCCCGTCCAAGTGGTACGTAAAACTCAGGCATTTATTACCATTGTTAAACGAGTATTTGTTGGGCGTCGCTATCCTGGCTTTGTCACCAGGATTGGCGTAATAGTTATCGACGTATAGATCCTCTGCAATGAAAGAATAAATACTTTATGCAGTACGTTATCCTATGAATTAAGCTGTTACTCTGGTTGAAAATACAACTCGTGGAATTGTTCGTAAAATTACAGCTATGAATATTTATTGACTTTTATACTGTAACAGAATCTCCTCAGAGTTTTCTTTATATGTTACACCCGATTTCAAATGAGTGCGAACTCTCGAATTTTTTTTCGGACGCTAAACTTTCACTCGACCGTCATTCACTCGACCACTTGGTAACCTGGCACAGCTTGAAGCGGGTAAATATTATCCAAGTATAAAAACCATGGTTAATGTGTGTCTGTGGGCTAAATTCCTACGGTTTGTGATCGCACTACAAAACGAACTTATTGTAAAAACTAGTTTCGGTTCAACTTAACTTTCTCAGCTCACAATTACAGCGAAACAATTGAAAAATAAATAGCGTGACAAACACTGACAAGCGCGCGCACTTTAAATCGCTTTTACTGTTCGTTGGCTGTTCTTTGTTGATTTTACTAGTTTACTGATTAAAATGAAGAGGTTATCGGACGATATTCGGTGGAGGGTTATTTACCATGAACTTATTTACGGTTCAAGCATTAAGGAAACTTGTAGAGCGTTATTTGTAGGGAAAACTTTTGTTTGTAAAATTCGACAACTATGTTGCTGTACATACACGGCGTGGAAGAAACCTCGACTTCTCACATGTAAGTGTCATTGTAAACTTGTATTCAATCAATCCGGGTTTTTACAGTAATACGAATAAGAATATATTTACTTCTTCGAAAGAAGGTTACATTTAAACATAAGTTACTTCGTTTTCAACCTTTAATTTAAACAACAGTGTTGCAATTATTTTTTCGCTTGCTTGATAATTTTTTTATTGTAAACTTAAATTGTTTACATAACGAAAGAAAAGACAAAAATGTGTATTTTAGTTCAACATAAGAATATCTTTTCAAGATGCAGAAAACAACACCCTCAAGTTCATGGTTCTTGCAAAGATATGCCTAATTGTGCAAAGTATTATTTGCATGCATTTCATGTTTACAAGTTAATAAAGCCAAATTTAAACTACAAACCAGATAGAAAATTATATTTTTTAAACAAGTTTAGTTGATATAGTCTTCTAATTGTTCTCAATTGCATTGAGTGAAGTAGAATGTTCTGTGAAACACAAGGACCACAGATATCTCGAACAAAGACCACCGCTTCTTCCTCCATAATTCTAAATGCGAAAGTCCCGCTACAGAAAGTCACGCATCACTTTCTAGACACGTGTGCCTGGTTACCAAACGGTCGAGTGAATGACGGTCGAGTGAAAGTTTAGCGTTCAAAAAAAATTCGAGAGTTCGCACTCATTTGAAATCGGGTGTAAATTCGAGAATATGTCCCTCGGTCTGGATTTAGAATGCATTGTTACGAGACTCACCCAAGGTCACGATCCAGTTGAAGTCATCGTCTCTTAGCTGTTTCATGCCACATTTAGAATTGGAGAAATCACAGTAGAAATCAACTATTAAAACCATTTGTTTTAAAGAAAGTATAATATGTATATCCGATTACAATACATTCGTGAAAACACGTCTAACTTTCTCTGGTCTTCTCTGGAAACTATTTGGTATACGATACAATTGTAGCTATGTTCACGGACAGCTAATAGGGGTGTGAAGCGATGCCTTTTTACAATTCATACTCAAGACAGAAAACGAAGGTATAGCCTCAATTTAAACTACAATATGTAGCTGTGCATTGTTTTGTATAATATTTGCCTGTAATGGTCTACAAGGTTGTATTACGTTTTACATATGTCAAATGAGCCTTATACCTGATCCTCCATAGACGGCAGCGGCCAGACAAAGAAATAGTAGTGTGTACATTGTTGGGCAGTCTCTAAAACTGTATGTGTAAGGGAAGACTTGGGAATTTATAGTAGATTAACGACAGATGTATTTTAACAACTAATGCAACAATTCTTTTTGTTCGTAAAAATGTGTAGATACTGATGATGACTCGGAAAATCGGAATGGATTTTGGACGCGGAATCAGGAGTATAGTATATATATATTGCAACACCTCAGTATCGGCTTCTGTTCACAGGTAGTATTAATACATAGCGAATGCGTGCCTGAGTGAGGTACATCGTCAAAGGATTGATAAAAAGTATCTAACTAGCATTTGATAACGTTTCACATTCAATGATAAAACTTTATGTATCATCCGCGAATTCCGGAATTGATTGAATTCCACTTTTGAATTTAAGATGTGACTGGCAAAATATACAAACATCGTCAGCCTGACTAAATTAACAGCCATTATCAGATTAAACAAGCCAGAGTATAGAATAATAGAAAAGCAATATCAGCTGTTCACGGCAACCGAATAGTCGAGATTAACCAAAAAAAATCATTACATCAATTTTTCTTTTCTCCCATATTTTCACTCTTCTTTCATTCCTTTTATTTGTTGACGTGGCTGTAAATGTGAAAATATGTTGGACGTTTTTCCTGTTTTGTTGATTTTCACGTTCGTCTTAGTGCTTCAAGAATTACATCTCATTCTATTTCCACAGTAGTACAGTGTTCCTCTAGTTGCATTTTACTCTCAAAAGAGTGTTGTTTTATTCTGAATGGCCAGTGATTGGTGGATCCGCTCTAGTATTGATATCGTAGTTATGCGAACGAGATCCCTATATCTAACTGGATCTCGTAGGCGCGCAGTTGATCTCATGCGCCGTTCAAATGTTATTAAAAGTTATATTTTATGAATTTGGTCCTTTTGAATGTTCTTAGTAAAATCCTTCTTTAATATGCAATTAATGTAAAGAAATTAGTGGACAGTTAAATGAGACTAGACGCGCTAAGATATCAGTTAAAAACAGGAGGTGACAATTTTTATAGCATTCCATTAAATGTTTTTTTTTCTTGTTTAGTTAAAATTTAAAGGATTTTAAGTGTAGTTCAGTAAATACTACTACAAGGCGTTACCTAATATGGACCGATGTTTTACTTAGCTGATTCTACAACTGAACATAACTGTAAAAATCGCACTCTTACATACGTCAATATACTAAAAGAAGTCGACACCTTGACATCATTTTAGCTGATCGGAAAAATCGCGCAAAAAGAAAAAGAAAAACTTAATTTTGAGTAAATCATTGTTTTTTACAAAACAGAGTCAAAAACTGATTTCCTTGAAATGATGTGAAGAGAAAAAGTATACGACGTCCACAAACCTAAATACAGCCTTGCCAAACTGATGTGTATATCATAGTCCAGCAGCATTCGAATTTTTATCTATATTTGAAAATAAAAATACATCGTAATAAATGCAAAAACGTACTGTTAATGTGTTATTCATTGTATGCCTTAAGATATTGTTAGAGTCGACGTATTGATAGAAGCAGCTTGCTATTTAATCTCCCACATACATGTCGGGAGTCTCGAATGTTGGTGGTTCATGACCATTTAAGCCGCAGGACATTCTCGGCGGAGCACTGTGGTAGAATATTGGAGTATTATAGTGTTGTAGAATTCTTCAATTATTATCACAAAAAAGAGTAGTTGTGTAAACTAAATAATTAGTTTTTCTTACGAACATTGAGGTCATGATCAGTGCTGGCGGCATAATATGATATAATAATCATATAATATATTATAGATATAGGATATGTTGCCCCGCAAGTCGACCATTTATCAAGCCAATAAAGAAACATGCAAGAGATCCTTGGATCAAAATAGAAAAATTGCTGAAAGTTGATAAAAYATCAAGCCATAAAGTCCACAAAAGTCAGAAACTGAATTTTTAAAGGACTACTTCTCCAGAACTTTATATTTCACTTCCCTTGTTGACTAGCTATAAGTTAAATATATCGCAGAACAGAACTGATTACTGAAGTCGGTTAGTCTCCATTGTGGTCTTGAGGGAATTTATAAAATATGCGGTATTGCGATATGAAATTAAGAACATACGGTCTTCAATATCGGCATACATTCCTTTGCATGGTTAACAATCGGTAAAAAAGGAAATAGTGATGTTGAGATCAAATACAAGATGAACGTCAGCGCTTCCGTATTCAATGTGAAAACTTTACCATGTCAAACAAGAAGGTGAAAAGGGCCGGTTTTGTTGTGGGTATCGGTAATATGATAAATTATGTGTGTTATTGATGGTTTTTTCTTTCGAAATTTCGATATAATTCTCCATTTAGCTTACCCTGGTTCCAGAGGCTTTTCTTCTATTATTTGCTTACTATGTTATCGAGCCGCGAAACGGCGAAACGTTTCCGTTCATAGTAAGCAAAAGAATAAAAGACAAGCCTCTGGAACCAGGGTACATTTAGCTGTAGTGACTGAGGTTAAGACATACAGGGCTTCTTTAAAAATGATTCAATGACTAGTGATCCAATTTGAAATTTTATTATTACTTTACTACACTTAGTAATACATTGATCCCAATCACCATGACGACTATTGATAGAACATGCAGCTTGGATACAACTATATAAAAAAACAAGTACAGTAAATTATCATGAACAGAAGAACAGAGAGATAAAATAGACAAAAAGAGATGGAGGATCATACGAAAAAGAATGGAAATTACAGATGGAAACGAAAAGAAGGAATTTGAAAAAAATTAGACAAATCTTTTATCGAAACAAGAACAGACTTACTCACCTTCATTTTTGGTATAGGAACTTTTCATTCACAGCTTATAGCGAACAAAACAACAGAGTTGAAAAAATGTAATTAAAGACGAGACATGTTTTTCAACTCTGTTGTTTTGTTCGCTAACAGATAAGCTGTGAAAGTTTCTGTACCAAAAAATGAAGAAAAAGAATTAAAAGTGAAGAAATTTAATTAAAAATATGCCAAGGGTAACGCGGAGAAATATGAAACACAAACAAAATTGCGCACTGCATCTGAATGACAAGGAAATGACTGGACGAAGTAAAGGATAAGTATTAGGGCTGAAATAATGGGCGATGTTTCATACATACCTTTTTTAAGAAGTGCAATGTCCACAAGTAGTTGGACAGAAGTCTTTAAAAAACTTTCTCATTCGCCATGAATTGGATTTACAGCTTTTCCAACTCATGCTAAATATTTTACAAGCGTGAGGGTAACGGTCCACGCACGCTAGAGAGAAAGGTACATGAAGATTAAGATCAGTATTTAGCTAAGCCGCGAGGGTAACGGTCCACGCTCGCTAGAGAGAAAGGTATATGAATATTAAGAAATTTAACACGCTAGAGAGAAAGGTATATGAAGATTAAGATATTTAACTAAGCGGCAAGGGTAACGGTCCACGCACGCTATAGAAAGGTATATGAAGATATTTAACAGTGGACGTACTTAACAATACGAGTGAGCTACGAGCTGATGGCATATGAGGCCGAACTCCGAATGTTGCTATCAGTTCGTAGTCCACGAGGCCGAGAGATCTAATTGATTTAGTATTACCATACTAGTTGTACACAAAATTGAATGAAATATATACATAATTAACAAAATGTTTTAATTGCTAAAAATTCAAGGCTGGTTACAGAACTTCCACACCAATCGTCTTTGAAGGCCGAAAAAAATATCTTAAATCCATCTTTTGCCTCCAAAATCCCCTCAGCGGCATGTCTCTAGGATCCTTCTATCCAGAATTGGGCAATATTTCAGCGGACTTCAAATCCAACCGTGCCAAATCATCATGTTTTTACGCTATTCTGACTCAATTTTTGAATCCGCTCACATTCATCGACCTTGATGGACACCGTTTTTCAAACTCCCTCTGATTGGACGACAGTTACCATGGAATCAGTTCAAGTACTCCCGACTACTACGGGGAGTGTAGGAATTTGATAACGCTTGAAAGGCTTTGCATTTGCATCGCTCCTGAAAATAAACCTGGCAGCGTAACTGGATTCAGTTGAAAACTTCGAAAAAGCGCGCGAACGAGTTTTCTCTGAGCTGTGTACGTTCGGCCTCGGGCTTGGCGGGCCCTTTGGGGATGTAGACAGTTGTACAAATTCCTACACTACCTGTAGTAGTCGGGAGTGCTTGAACTGATTCCATCGTAACTGTCGCCCAATCAGAGGGAACGGTGTCAGTCCATCAAGGTCGATGAATGCTTGAGCGGATTCGTGCCGCTGAGGGGATTTTGGAGGCAAAAGATGGATTTAAGATATTTTTTTTCGGCCTTCAAAGACGAGTGGCGTGGACGCTCTGTAACCTGCCTTGTATAGTCTTTTATGACTGATGGCGATATTTTTTAAAAAATAGCTCTAAATCCCTTCAAAACCATACACAGAAATGTTAAATAACATCAGCAACACATGAGATTAAGGTAAAATGTATTTTAATAAAAAAATATTTTTTGAATCAAATGCTTTGCTTGGGTTGCCTGTGCAGTGCTCAGTACAATATGCGCCGTATCGCAGCAGTGCTCAGTACGTTCTTGTGAACAAATGTATCGCACTTACGTTTACATCCGAAGTTATTAGGTCCCCTAGCGATGGTGCCATCCCAACAACACATATCAGGAGGATAAAGCTGCTGACATGTTCTGACAGGACTAGCCGGACTCTTGCGCACTATATCAAGTAAGAATTAATGGTTAGTGAACCCCCCTATTGTTTTATGACCAGGTTAGCATTATACTATTATATATGAACACTCAGAGTTGCATTCATGAATACGAGCTGCAACTTGTTAGCAAATATAGACATTCATATCTGTTATATTAATATATCTATATACAACTTTTATCCCCAATCTCCCTATCCATGACTTACAACATCTTCCGTCGGAACAAGTGTAGGGGCAATTTTCTCTGATAGTTTTGGTCTGACATTTTATTGCCTTCTCTTTGGGGGTGAACGATCGACATGTCGTTTTGAAAACGTCCTCGCACAGTTTTTCTATATTGAAAATTAAATACAAGTTACATCGACAGGATATTTTCCTATTTCCATTCTCTAACAAGAAATAAGCGGGTGTTAGGAGAACAAGAAAGGCTTTGAAGCACGAGTTTGAGAAATTCAATTAAATGCTTTGCGAGTGTCCTCCCAACAATCCCAAGTGTTTCTAACAGAAAATGGAAAAACGGAAAATATCTTCTACTGCTTTCATTGAAAGAACAAYAACTCTTCACTTGAAAAACACGGCTTTACCACATTTCAACCAGTCAATGCAGGCGTTATGTATAGTTATTTCATAATAAAAACATATAGTTAAGTCTCAATTGCGACTTTCTGAATCAATATCGAGCCTGACTTACCAGCACACCCTTTCCTTTTCCTAGAGTCTGCCTTGGAATTGTCAGCGCAGCAGCCGAACTCACCACAATCTATGCGATAGAACAAATCAACATCACTGGCAATCATGTCTTACTATAATTGTCTAACCAGTCTTACCAATTCCTTTCACCTGTTGACCCGATTTCACTCTTTTTTCTTCTTCTTCGTCCGCCATGGCTTTCCTGATTAGATCCAACTCGTTTCGTATTTCCTTCGTCAATTCGTTATCCTCTCCGGGGTTCAAGACAGTCTGGTCGGACTGCAGTCGGTCAACGTAGGTTGTAAACTCATCCAGGACTTGGTGAGGAATCTTGTACGAGTTAAAGTCTTTAAAAGCACTAAGGTACCTTACCTTAGGGTCGTTTACAGAGCTATGGGAAGACTTGGTGAGCTGGGAGAATTCCATGATAGAGCCATTGGCTGAAACAAAATCCAGTTGAAACAAAGCGATTCTGGACAATAATATGAGTGACAGAAAAATCAGGGACATGTTCATTAAATGTCTGCACGAAAGAAACACGAGATGTTTGCCCTCCTTTACTCTTTGTCATATATATTACAAAAACGTCTGCCGTAGGAAAAAAGAACATTTGTACTTTAATTACTAAAAAGAGATGAATTAAAAAAGAGAAATGTAGGCCACTCAGGTTGAACGCTTTCTTTTGTGTATTTGATATATTTCTTCTTACTAAATAGAAACGCTCAATTTCTCTGACAAAGTCTTTGCGAATATAGGTGTGTATATATTGTATATAATGCCACCAATATCAATGACCTTCTACTAAGGCAATTCTAATGCATTCAAACAAGAGCGCGCGCGTCAAGAAGAAACATTTACTAATGCAAACATTCAGTTGTAACTCTGCTTGGAACTATTGTGATTTTTACTATCGAAACAGTTTTCCATTTATTAAAGAACTGAGGATTCAAGATCTCAAAAAACAAGCCCACGCGAAGCATTTTTCAATTGTTATTAATTATATGATTTCCTTTTTTCTTTATCAAAACCACCAGCAAATATTGAGATCTGATTGTTTAAAATGGTGATGACGATTTGCGGCTAAATTGAGCTGTAAATCTTCTCATAATTAAAGATTATTTCGACTCAATGTATATAAGTTGAAAATTTGGTGTGCAATCAAAATAGGTGCAATTAGAATATTGCTGCTACGTGGTGGTGTAATTATTGCACTCCACTCAACACAAATAAACGATTCAAGTGAAAAGAATAACATTGAAGTAGTAATCAAGATCAAGAACAGTCATCTACTATTGTCTGATCGCAGACGAGATCTTACCTCGTAACACCAGCACAAAAGCACACAAAGTGACAAGAAGCACCTTCATTGTAGACTGCTTTACAGGACTATCTCGATACTAATAAAGAAATGCTTCTATAAGATGGTTTATATAGGATTGAAGTCTGTATCTAGAGAATTCCTATGCGGTCAGCCCGAGTACAGCTTGTAACATGATACCACATAAATAGTCTGTGACGTCATTAGGTCGCATTCAACGCTTTTTAAGCTTTTTGCAGTCATTTAAAAATAACAAAATCATTGTTATGTCATATCAATAAAGACGATGAAAATCTCAAGAAGGTATTGCTAAGTGTTAATGTTCTTTTTCTATGAAAAAACTCCGGTGTCGCCTGGGGACGATTTTTCTAATAGATTATGTGTACTATGACAAGACGTTATCACGGTCCAAACAAACAAATACAAAACTTCCTGCTTTCTATTATATTTTGTTTTTTAACTTTTTATTGGTTATAGCTATGAACCCTTTTCCTCGACGTTTTGTTTTTCTGTATCTTTGCGGTTAATTACTGAAGACATTTTTATAACCTCACTAAATTTGAATTGGTCTCTCTTAGATTCATCTAGAAATGGATTGTTTAGTATATTTTTAATTGAAAAGATCACAATAGAAACGTTATCAAGATTTGAACCACAAAATTATGTCAGAAGTCTTCAAATTAACTAAAAGTGCAAAAGCTGCAGTTCTAGATCTGTTGTTTGCCATATTAGGACACTTGCTGGGATCAACCTCTGCTTTTTTCTATCACAACCCAATACGAAATATTAAGGTAGGAATGGAGGAGTTATTGTTTCAGTAATAGATCATGAAGCATTCTGATCTCTAACTCTCCTGGTACGAAATAAACGATGATTGACCACAAACTAAAACCAAATCAGAAAAGTCAGTAAAATACGGCAGAGTACGTACACATAGTTGGTGTGCACTAGTCAGATTATATCAGCGTAAAGTCAATGTTTCTAGATTGATTTTTTTAGATAAAGCATAAGCTATCTTTTGATGATGTAACTCAGTTTTTTTTAGAATAACGTAATAAGTTATTATATTGGTTGGACCCCATTAAAGTTATTCCCACATCATCGGTTATACATGAATGTGGTTTGGTGACCGAGACTCCATCTTGTTTTAATCTCCTTTGGATTGAATGCGAGAAGATGTTGATGAGTTTAATTGACTTTATTGAAGTCATAATTTTAAAATGTGTCTATAACAATAAATTAAGGTGTGGTCTTCTTCGCCAGTTAACACACAATTGAGTCGGAGGAAGGTCACTTTGAATAGGAATTGATTTCTATTTTCGGAAAGATTACAGAGGTGACATCATTCCACTAAAGAGCCATATTGGATTAGGGTTTAATATATAAGTTTACTATATAATTTATTTTGAAAGTTCAGCACTTCCACCTTACAACATAGAGCGTAGCTTTAATACAGGTCGTGCTTCTCTAACCATCCCTTCTTTTGTACTCGATCTCGTCTCTCCCCTATATCTCCTGTACGGGGACATTCCATCAATTATGGTATGATTTTTGGTTCGTGTCTTGAATGTAGGGTATACACAATTAACCTTCCGTTTTCTTGAATAGGGGTGCACTTTCTATGTTCTCCATATCTTGTACAGGGTGTCAATAGATATCTAGTGGACTATAAAGTCAAAATGGAACAACAGTGCCCTGATTGACATCTTTTAGTACGGAACACTACCTGGTTTATGTGGACTAGTTTTGGATAGGGTCTAAATTTTACCAGTTTGTCTTGAATAGCAAACGGAATTTCACGACTCTTTGCTGTCTTGAAAAGTGTCGGGCTTAGAGGTACCACAGAACGGAACGCGCCCGTTCAGACAATGTCACTGGTAACATGGAGTCACAAATCTCACATCTCTCGATCTTGAAAAACCTTGATTTAATTATTCTCGGAAAATCTCGGACCATTTTCATATATTTTTGGGGGTTCCCTGAAGGCGTGGGTTTACAGGTTCAATCAATTGAAATGAATCTATATATGTCGAATCTACATATGATGCTCGCCGATGTGGAGAGCACAGGTAAACCAAACAGCCAAATGGTATGTTTGACACAGCTTGGCTAAAATGTGACATGTATACTACGTGACTGTTCCATGCGTTCAATGACCGTAAGCCATGTTTAATGAACTAACTCATCTAGTAGATTACATGTGCTTTTCATGCATGATATGATTGACAGTTACATTACGTAATCAGATACCGGAAGTGATACACCGGAAGTACACATATTGTAACAGTGACCATGGGGAATAGTCGGATGCAACTTCTCTTATTTTGGTTCAATGCAAATCAAATCTGAGGAAATGCTCTTTGGTGTAGCCCGAGTAAGCCCTCTAATTTATTATTCAATTCAAGTGCAACATCTGAATACCTAACTTGGAGTATAGCTAAAATAGAGAATTTTCTTTTTTCCCCTTTATTTTGCTTAATAGCAGGTTTTTTTGTTACTATAAAAATATTTTGCACTTTTATGCTGTGAGTGTGTGACATATGTGATCATGATTATGTTACATATGGCGTGACTCTCCTGTCCAGGTCATTTGACCGTGTCACTTCATTCTTTTCAACTCGAAGTCGGGGCGGTGTGTCAACAAAATGGCTCCCAAATGTGTAACTTTAGGATTTTTCCTCTTTATTACAACAGGTATGTATTTGCATCAGCGAATTGCTATTCTTTGTCATCAGGAAACATGTTTTAGTTGATTCATTTCGTAATATTTCATAAAGTAAGAAGCATTGATACCATGATTTCACAACCACCATACTCTGTGATAGAATGCCCTTTCAGTTTCTTTAAGCTTGTACTTTCTAAACTTCGATGCACTGAAGCAAATTGTAATTATTACATTGTGATCCAACACACTACCTATTTTTTGGAGCCATCAAATTTAATAGTTTTTTAATTGAGAATTATTTTAATTGATTATTTTTGAAGCATGCTTGGTTACAGTAGTTTAATATACTTACTAATCTGCTTTGCTAAAAGCTTTTTCAGTTCAAATATATGTCAAGACTACTTGTGGTGACATGACTTAAATTGTTGTATGATTTTATTCCCATGCATCTAAAGTAACTTTATTTTGGATCGGTAAATTTTCTAAATTATCAAACTCAAGGGTTCATCTTGATCTATCAAGTTTAGCATAGATCGAGAGGAAGTTCTAACTAAGTATGTTGAAATATTCAGATAGCTGATCATTGTCCAATGGCATATGTTTATCTTTATTGTTTATGTTATCTGTAAAATTACTGTAATGCAGTGCTTCTAAATATTGAATGTTGTTTTATTGTTTTCAGTTTTTGTTGTTATTCCTAATGAAAGTGGTAAGTGCTTAAATCTCTTTCAGTGACATCAGTTCTCTCATAAATGCGCATGAAAACTGATATAATTACTATATTTGTTTTTTTAGATGGTGCAACCTGCTGTACAAAACTTGGTATTCCCAGTAAATGTCACTTCCTTTGCGGTGATGGCAGTGAAGGATTTTGGAGTCTCACTAGATGGCGGTGTACTGTCGATTACTATCCAAGTATTGTCAAGTGCAAATTTACAGATGGACTAGGTGAGCAATTCATACTATGTGGGGGTAAGGTAATGAAATCACCAGTGAGTGATATGATTTATCAGGGGTAAGGTGGGGTGACTCTGAGGGGGTAGGGTGGGATGTTATGATATAATGGGATATAGGATATCATAGATGAATTGAATATAAACAGAAACCATCAGGGTTAGTATTAGTGAACTGATGGAAACTATGAGGGAGGGTAGGGTAGAGTGAAATTGGGTATGTTGTATAAACTGGCAAGGGGAAGGGTGGACTGAATTTTGTAATGATAATGATTGTTATGGTTAAATAGGGGGCAGGGTGGGGTAACTATCTTGGGGTAGGATGTGCAGTAATCAGGTGTGTCATGGGTGGGAATTCTATTGAGTAGGGAGAGTATAACTTTGGATATGATACAGAACTATGATGAAGTACAACAAACTATCAGAGGGGATAGGCTGAAGTTCACCTATTTGTGTGGTAGAAACATTACAGGAGTAGGATAGAGTACATCAAATTTTCTGGGAGTAGAATGGAGTACACCTATTTGTCTGGTACAAACGTTTCAGGAGTAGGATAGAGTACATCAAACTTTCAGGGGGTAGGGTGGAGTACACCTATTTCTCTGGTACAAACATTACAGGAGTAGGATGGAGTACATCAAACTTTCAGGGGGTGGGGTGGAGTGAAATGAGTGAAGTGTCAGGAGATAGGATGGGCTGATTTGGTATTGAGAGGGAGTTAAAGATACTTTAATTTGATATTACTGCCATCCATAAATCATGGTATTCATTTGATTGTAGATTATGTGAAGATGTTTGGTCAGAATTTAAACAAAAAGTATGTATTTTAATTGTTTAGAAATAAATGGAAATTGAATTTTTAGTGAGATGTTATTTTAGATGATAAGAAATGTGTGATGGATAACTAAACGCATTTGTGAAATATGGAAATGCAAAATTCAATTACCAAGTTATGATCATAATTTTCTTTAGAATTGTGGAGGGTTTCAAGAAGCTATCACTTGACTTACAAAAGAAATTACAAAGTGCAAAAGACTTTGCAACAGCAAAAGTAGAAGATCTGAAAAAAGTTCCACAAGACATACTCTGTGCTTTGAAGGTTGGTCTAGTTTTTTATTTCATCATGTGAAACCAACTGTAGTTGTTTATTTTAAATGTTAGCATTTATGATGATTGTTTGTTAGGATTCCATATCTGGGATGACATCAGATCAGTTCAAGGGTTTAGTGAAAAGATTTACAACATTTACAGCACACAACCTGAGAAATCTTGCTGAAAGCATCAAGACAAAGACATTCTTTGATAACATTGATGACATTATTGTAAGTAAGACTCTAATATCACAATTAACAGGTGAATTAAATGAGAATGAATGAATAATTGAACCAAATAAACAAATAAATGAGAAAATAAGAAGATTGAAAAATAACTAGATGCAATCATAAATGTATTATTAATAAACACCATGTTGCACTTGGAAATACATGTAATAGAAATAATAGAAAATAAACTAGTAGATACATTTGATAAGAAAATTGACTATTTCAAAATATTGCTACAAATGTAGGATTTGTTCTTAACAAGCAGTATATAGTGTACACTGGATCAAGTTATCTGAATGTTAGACAGTGATGTGTGATGTAAAATCTCTAACAGCCATGGCCTCCACAAGTAGCTACTTTGAATTAATGGATCAAACTTTGTAGTTGTAGTGTAGCTATTGAATCAACTGAGTGTGTTTTTCAAAAGGCAGAGGACTGGGACCCAGAGCAACTTGCAGCTCTCACTAAGACAGCATTCAAGAAGTTTGGCAGCAATGTTAAGTTGTGGGGAAAGGAGGCTTATGCAGCATTAAAGCAGTTATTTGTTGGCTTGGAGTCTGGTGAACTGATGCAAATGGCTGCAGACAGTTTCAAGGAATTGTATGTTTGTTCATATTATTTGGTGCATGTTTTGAGTGTATTGCTTTCACTGCATAATAACATATCAACCAGGCTGCATTTTGGAAAGTTTTCACGTGATTTCGTTTGATCTCTAAAACTCTGAAAATCAGTAGCGTATTATATGGAATATATGGATAGCAATAAAAAAAAAGAAAGATGGCAAAACTCACGTGCGTATCTGCGTTATAAACGCAACGGCCATGAGTAATGACCAGTATGGGGGATTGACTATTCGTCAGTATTCAACATCTCAGCCGCGCGAATCCCTGAAAGAGTAGATTACAGTACATTGCAGTTAGGTATATTGTTCGTATCTGGCGGTGTTTATTACACTGTGGACGATAAATGTGAAAATACACTGTACAGATTTGGCTCTTGTGAGAACGACATTCATTTAGTGAGAAAAACACAATTGGATAGTGATATACTGTAAACAAATCAAGAGATACTGCATAAATTATAGTGATATCATTGAAATAAAAATTTCACTAGTAGGTTATTATTTGGTCCAGAGTTAGCTGTACTTACATCCTAAAAGAATTTGACTCTTTTTTATAGAACAAACTACCTCTGCTCAGCCAAAATGAACGACGATCAAAGAAAAGCTCTTCTTGTCCCTGCCAAGAAGGCATATGGCGATGACCTGTCCAAGTGGGATGATGTTGTGGTCGGAAAACTTTGTAKCTTGATTAAAGCGCTGCCTGTTGAAGATCTATTGAAACTTAGCGGTGAAGTGGTGAGAATATAGCACTCATGTTCTTTTTTTTCTGATCATCCTTCCCATTTCATTACACTTTTCTTTTTCCTCTTTTACATGAATATTCTGACTTCATTTCCAATCTTCATTTATTCATTTTGTCCACTTATGTACTCGTTAGGGCTGGTTCACATGTGCGCTATGACATCTTTTGAGCAAAAGGTTCACATTTTACATCAGCAATATCGCCTGCTAATGCTGCCTTAGTTCACACTCGTTGTAATTTTATACGCAAGAAATAGAAGCGGAAACACAAGAGTATAGAGCTTCCTCTTTTCATTCTTTCTACTGTATTTATTTTTTATTCTCTTTTTCATCTTTTTTATCCTTTTTACTATTTCATTTTATGTTACCTTAAATTCGTTGATTAATATGATTTCCATGCAAAATGCAATTTCAAAAGTATTTACAAAGTATGCAAAAGACATGCAGTGATCTAACGTTGCATTGTTGACTTGAACAGATCTCAAAAGTCATCAACGTGATATCTCAAGCAGCAGATTTCGCCTATCCCCATGCACGAGCCCTGTTAGACAAGGTAAAATCATCCAAACTAGGACAAGATATATCTAAATGGACAGCAGACGACATCAAGAAACTAGGGACGCTTGTCAAGGACCTGGATGTCGAAGATTTAAGGGCTTTGTTGGTGAAACAGTTTAAGGTTGGTTACACTTCCTCGTCCAATTTCACTTCCACTTCTCCCTCGAGTTCTGCCTCAGAAACAAACCTCAGTCCAGGGCATCAGGCCGGCATGAGCGACACTGCAAATTAGTCAGGGTATCGTATGGGTGTGGCAAAACATACGTCATACATTATGTGTACTCGTTAATATTTATATTGCGGGTATTTCCCTATTTTTACAGGAAATTCAAACTACTCTAGGTGACGTTGAGTGGTCACCAGGTCGTGCCCGTGAATTAGCCAAAAAAGCCATTGAATCACTTGGTGAGCCTGCAAAATGGACAGCGGAAAATCTGAAAGAATTAAAAAACATTGCTGGGGGTCTGCTACCCTCTGAACTCAAACAACTGGTCGATAAAGCGGTAAAGGATGATTTAAAAGGGTTTAAAAATGCAAAACTCGAAATTGACCAAGTAAGTGGGTGTGATGTATAAAAGTTGGATAAGCTAGCAGCATKTTAGTTTGTTGCATTAATTGCGCCATTAGTCACTTAGAAACGATGAGTGAAAATTGCGTTAAACATCATATGATGTTTCTCTGATATTCAAGCTCTTCTCTATACTCACAAGGGCAAATCCAGGGGGCGGTTAATATTGCTAACAAATCTCTAATATGGCAATAGTAGTGATGACAAAAGCAAATAGAAGAAATAAATAGAGGAATTTAGTGTATTCTGAAGAACGCTGTTTAAAAGTATAAAATATTTCATTTTTCGCAATCCTTGATCTATTCATTTGATATTTTTTCTTGAATTATCCACCCCCTTTAATAAAGTTCTGTCGGATCCGCCACTTACTCAGCTTATAGGCAATGCTCATGATTCTTCGCTGCCTTCTTCAATTATTGATCATCAACTGGATATATAGGCTAAGTGTCTTATTTCTTGACTTGCAGGCCCAAGAAATTGTCAATAAAGTCAAAAACGAACTTCAGGTAACCTTAAGAAATGATAAAAGACAATATCTTGGACATATCAAAAGCATGTAAGATGGTTCAGACTCCTGGTTTCTGGGTTTTTCCGGCGGTGTTCGTCCAAAGGGAGTGGAGAGAGATAAAGACAATTGCACAGGATTTATAGTTTCTCTACGTAACCTTTATCTGTAAATATTTTTTATTTCTTGATGATTTTATAGGGTAAACTTGAGAACCTTGATGAAGACGACCTGATAGCCCTGACACACGCTTTGGATGGGTTCCTTGCATCAGATGTCGGTAAAATTACCCAGCTTGTTTTGTATGCTGCTTTCCCTGAACTTAAAATAGCCAAAGAAGTTGCGATTCCAATTATTAGAGAACTTATCAAAATGGTAAGATATTTTTTTGCTTGTTAGAACTATACTCCTGAGTATTTGTAATAGCAGTAACTACACCAAGTGACAAATGAAGCAGTAGTAGAATCTGAAACAGCAACTACAGCGAAAACAGCAGCAATAACTAATGAAAACTGACTGAAAGATCCATGTTCCAACTCTTGCAATTGAGATTTTTATGTAATTCGAGATTTATTATCTCGTGTTCATTATTATTATCTCAATTTAATTGTCTGTTTTTACAGCACAAGAAAGACGCGTCTGGTAAGAATGATTTTACTCGTCTTGGTGAAGTTGCTGTTGGTTTGAGTAGAGCAGAACTTGACGATGAAGACATCGAAACAATCGTGAAGAACTTGGACAGAGTTGGTGGTATTCCGTGGGACAAGACACAGGTAACATGCTCATTTTAAAGAACTCAGTTTCGATTGTTCAAAACCGGTTATAATTGGATGGGTTTTGATGTGTGTTCCAGGTGATTGAGATTGCCAAGAAAGTTCGTGACAAGTGGGGCAGCATCAACGATACCGACAACTCTGACTCAGACTACCCTGACTGGGGATTTATAAACCTCAAAAAACTTGGCCGCGTAGCACTTGGACTAGCTAAAGAAGAATTGAGAGATCTACCAATCAGAGGCATCGAAGACAGTTTGGACGTGTTAGGCCGACAAAAGGAGTGGGATCGAGGACAGGTATTGATGAATGCTGTATTATGTCATGTATTAATGACAGCTCTCGTAGATTGGACCAGACCGCTGTTAAGATATTTATATATAACGTGTTCATTTATATACAGCCCTTTGCAAAAATTATGAGAATTGTCGAAATATCTAAATATCATAATATCAAGTGCATGATGGGTAATCCCGCGCGAAACCCTTTGTCCCGAACACGCGGGTTTGCTAGAATAATTCATTGTTGACATCGAGAAAATGTTCAGAACTACGGATAAGTCTGTCGCCGAAAAAAAAATAAACTACAAAGACAAGGAACTAAGGGCATCGCGCGGGATTACCCATCATGCACTCGATATTATGATATTTAGATATTTCAACAATTCTCATAATTTTTGCAAAAGGCTGTATTAGTTATAATATTAACTATTAGTTATAATATTAACTATTAACTATTAGTTATAATATTAACTACGGCCGTATAACAAGTTTATGTATTATTGGTCTGATTGACTCATCATAGCGTGTTATGTTCTTGCTTTGGTTAATATCACACTGTCTTGTTGCTATGGTTTAAGCGCGATTACCCGATTGTAGTGCATTATGTTGTTACCATGTCTGATATCCATTATTCCGTCAGGTTGCAATGGTGCTGGTTCGACTGCGCGAGTACTGGGAAATGGAAAATCTCGACTTCTCTAATTTCACCGAGCTGGACATTAATTCACTCGGCGCATTTGTGCAAGGAATAACACAAGACGAACTGAAACGTCTTCCTAACAGGGTTCTACTTATTGCCATACGAAGACTGGGCGAAGAGACTGGGATCCCTGAGGACAAGCTAAGGACTCGCGCTTTTACTGCCGTAGAATACTTTAAGGTTGGCTAGGAATATGTATCTTTGAATTACAGCATTTTTGACTCATCGCTATAAGTGCTCGTCAGCACCATGAATGAGAGGATTTTATCTTTAATCCATAGAACCAATCAGGAATCGATATTCTTAACTCCACTCACATCCAAGACATGGGAAATCTTGTGGCGGGACTAAGCACTAGTGCAATGAGAAAAATATCCCGTGATGCCTTTGTTCAAAACCTCTACACGATGGCGAGGGCAAAGGGGCTTACACCAGATAAACTGAAACAGCTGGCGAGCCTTGCCAAGGAACATTTTGATGGAAGGTGAGTGACAATATCACGGACAATGAGCCACAACACAATGACACAACAAAACTGTTTTCTTTCTTATACTATTTTTAAGTATGTCCAGTTCTTAATTTTTGTAAATTAAATTATAATCTATTATATACTTATTCTTCTATTGCACCCACAAAGAATAGTTCTAACTAATTGGGGGTAGCAATATATTCTTTGTATATCTTTCAGTTAAATTTAAATAAAGTATTTTTGCTAAATTCCCCTAAATCGGGTGACATATCAGAAACCCGAGCAAAGCGTAACGCTAAACCCCTTGAATATTGCGATACGGCTATCGTCAGCATCGACCATTCCAGTCATTTTTRTCATTCATACAGTCAGTCATTTCTCTACTTCACATTTAGCGATGTTGGCAAGTGGACAAGTAAACAGTGGCGCGATCTCGGTCCGGCTATCAAAGGTCTGAGCCCAGCTGACCTGCGCAGAATGAGTCGTGGTGCTTTGAAAGAAATTGTTGATGAAATCAATGATATCGAGTTTAGCAAGGAACAGGCCGAGGCAATCTTAGACGCTGCCAAAGAGGCCTATAAAGAAAGCGGTTAGTGTTTGTCCATCGCTTAGAGCAGATTAGTATGGTTCGAGAGATTTCTGTTCTTCTCCAAGTCTCGATTCAGTGAGTTGGCGCTTAATAATGAACTCAAGCTGTATTTCTAATCTGAATTCATCGAGGATATAGAGGGGAGATTAGAAACTCGTGAGACCAGGCTAAGGGCCTGTTTACATGAGATAGGGTGCTCCTTTGTTTTCTTTTCCCTGGAGGATTGAAAACAAAAGAGTTGGCTCTACACCTCTATAATAGGTTTTGTGGTTTAGGGTTTGTATATACCTATTGTTATTGTTGTTACAAATAGACATCGGTAAGTGGACTGGAGACCAGTTACGTCAGCTTGGTTCTTTAGCTAATGGCTTGGGTACTGGTGAAATCATGAAACTTGGTAAAGAAGCATTTGAAGATACGGTGGGGGTGTGGGGCAAGAAACTTAATATCGACATAAACCAATTGAAGGCAATGGCTGATAAAGCTAAAGAGGTATCTAGTTTAATCGGTTATTGATTAGCCAGTCTATATGTACAGTCAATCTCATAACGGTATTCAGTTGTGAAGTCCTGATAAAGGCAAAAATATAGTGATTTGCATATTATATCATATTTTCATTTAAATATTAAATCACAAAAAATATTAAAATATTAAATTACAAAAATACATTGCAATGTCAATAACATTGAACTCGCTATTTATCTGGAGTTGCAAACTAAAATCCTTCCCGGGAATTTTATAAACATTTTTTATGCAAATGACGTCGTTGCTGTGTCTTTATGTCTTTACAAGTGAACAACGTTTTTGGTACTGACTGGTACTATATGGTACTGTATTTGACTGTACCTAATAAACTAAGGGAGAAAAGATGAACATAAATGACGCTTACATACAATCAACGTATAATTTAATAATTTAGTTTTTTACATAGTACGCTTTTATTACTAGTTTCTGGTCAATAATGACGTCACCAAGTTCACTGCCGCACATCTCAAGAGACTGGGCCGTGTAGTTCTTGGTTTTGAACCAGCAGATCTTGAAAAACTAAAGATTGACAACATTGACGTCATCGCAGCCCTTGGGAAATACAAGGGGTGGACCGAACAACAGGTCAGCTACGTGATGGCACTTAACCAGTATACAGACTTGTCGTTTATTTAATTCTTTCATATGTTGTTAAGCCGGTCAAAGTCGAGAATGTTGGATAATTTCTAATGGAATTTAACTTTTTTTGTTTCAGTTAAAAGTACTAAAGCCTAAGATTAAAGAGTTCGTGTCTAAGAATAGCGCTAAAATCGACTATATTTACATGAGTCTCGGCCATCTTGGAACGACGTTGAGTAAAGTCGACATCGCCCAAATACCAACAAATTCACTCAAGTAAGAAACTAATAAAATTTTGTCTGTGAGGTAATTAGGGTGGATAGAGAAAAATCACAAGGAACCCCTCCCAGACACTCTACAGCCATGTTCGAACCATGCTTCCATCAACGTCATATCATTTGCTATTAATCTTTCAATTGTTTAAGCAATAAGGAATGGATTACCTTTTTCACAGGCAAAAAACGAGATTTTGGACCGACCACAGTACGTGTTAGAGTACTTAAGGCCTTATTATAAAGGCCAATCAGAGTGCGTGTTAGAATGAACTGATATTATGAAGGCCAATCAGAGTTTGTATTAGAATGAAGTAATATTATTAAGGCCAATCAGAGTGCGTGTTAGAATGAAGTAATATTATTAAGACCAATCAGAGTGCGTGTTAGAATGAATTGATATTATGAAGGCCAATCAGAGTTTGTGTTAGAATGAAGTAATATTATTAAGGCCAATCAGAGTGCGTGTTAGAATGAA